AAATGTCCATCGTTGTGCTGTTGGTATTTGGCTCTGTGGCCTAATGCGTTTGCCGACCGCTGTTACAGACCGATGGCTCCGAGGAGGCCCCTCGTGGGCAGGGTTCCCGCCTCACACCCAGAGCTCCCGAAGGCTCAGCTCCTGCCGGGCCGAGGCGGCAGGCCGTGCCCAGCGCAGCTCTCCTCGCCCGCGGTGGGCTGCGACTTGGCCTTGGGCGGCTGCGGGGTGCGGGGACCGGGGTGCCCTTGGACCCCGCGCTGCCATCGATGCCGCACCCGGGCCGGCACCCCCTGCGCCCCCCTCCCGCTGCGGCCCGGGGGAGAGGAGAGAATCAGTGCCGGCCGCAGTTCCTCAAACCCCACGGCGGCCGGTCTGGCAACGCGTCCAGCCCTGACGCGCTTCTGATGCGGGAAAAGGGGAACGTGCCTTCCTCGGTGTCTCCAAAGAGGAAGCGAAACGAAGCGGGGGAGGACACAAACAAAACAAAACAAATAAAAACTTCCATCCGAGGAACACCCGGAGCTGCTCCCGGCGGGACTGGCTCCTTCAGTGCGGAGGCGGCTGTAGGACGGGCGGCCCTGGGCTCCGAGGAGGCTTTTAAGGAAGACACGGGGAAATGAGGAGTCACTGGTGCCCCGGGCGTGGGTGGAAGGCGACGGCCTGCCAGACCTGCCCCCTCCCGAGCCAGGGCCTGAGGTGGGGGGCCACCCCCCGCCCAACGGGCTTTGCAAGGAAGCCTGGGAAGTTCACTTTTGAGTCCTGGGCCTTGCACGTGTCTTTGTTTTTTTAAAAAAAATACATTTTATTGCTTTTCTTTACAGAGAGGAAGAGAGAGGGATAGCTAGAAACATCGATCAGCTGCCTCCTGCACACCTCCTACTGGGGATGTGCCTGCAACCAAGGTACATGCCCTTGACAGGAATCCAACCCGGGACCTTTCGGTCCGCAGGCCGACGCTCTATCTACTGAGCCACACGGGTCCCGACTGTGTCTTCTTTCTTATCTAAGGACACCGGTCATTGGATGTAGGGCCCGCCTGACCCAGGATGACCTCATCGAGACATCCTTCACTTAAAGACATCGGCCAAGACCCTTCTTCCCAGTCGGACCACGCTCTGAGGTCCGGGCTGAGCCTGTCTCCTGGTGGCCAACACCACTGACCTCACGCCTCCTGGGGGCTTTCACACATCCTGGTGCCGCGGCTCTGAGGTTCACGAGGGCAGAGCCTGGGGTCCTCAAAGCCCCAGGCGGCTCCCAGAGGCAGCCAGGCTGGGACCCGGGGCGCCTGGTGTTCGGCTGCTTTCCAGGGGGGAACCTGCCACCCCAGCCGGGCTGTGTGGGGCCCACCTGATGGGGGCTGGGGGGGGGCGGCCGGGTCTCTGGTCTGGCTGGTGCCGCTTGGACGGACGGGGTGGTGCGGGCGTGTGCACCTGTGGGATAAGGTGACCAGACGACCCGCTTTTGGTGGGACAGCCCGATTTTTAACAATTTGTTCCGCATCCCGCAGTGTTTCAAAACAGTCCCGATTTTTGGAAAGAATGTTTGGAAACAAACCGGGACTGTTTTAAAACACCGCAGGAAGCGGGACAAATTGGTTAAAAAGCGGGACGTCTGGTCCCCTTACTGTGGGAGCTCCTTTTCGGTAAATGAAATGGCGTGAAGGCGGGGCCCTGTGCCCTCCCAGCCCGGCTGCCCTCCTGGCCGTCTCACCGGGCACCGGCCGGTGGCTGTACGGGCAGCGGCCGCTGTAACCGGAGTCTGGCGCTCCCGGCTGACCGGGCTCTGTGGGTTTGCCAGCTGGTCTCCACCGAGGGCTTCTCCTCCACAAAAGGGGAGTCAGAGCTCCCTCCGCCTTAGCTAACGCGGGTCCTCTGCGCCGTCCGGCTTCCATCCGCCTGGGGCCGGGCCTCCACGGGGGAGCCCGCTGGCAGCAGCTGTCCCCGGACCCCGGTGGCTGGTCCCTCCCGCTGCCCGCTCAGGCCCAGCGGGCTCCGGAGTGAGCCTCAGGCTCGGTGTGGGCTGGCTCAGGAGGGAAGGGACGTGAGAACCTGGTGGGAGGGCTAGCGCGGGCTCTGCAGACTCCGACGGCATGGGCGCACCCCAGCACGAGCTGAGGGCCTGAGCGGCTCCTGGCCCTCTCAGTGCCGTACGCGGCACTGCCATCTCGCTCTGACCACGGCCCCTCCTCAGGGTGATGGCAGGGGGCGCCCAGAGCGCCGGGCCCGGGCGACGCTCATGGAAGTCAAGATTCTTTCTGAGAACCGGCACATTGAAGAGCACAGCAGCCTGCCTGCAAACACGCGTGTCCTGGAGTGGGGGGGGGGGGGCGGGGGCGGGCAGGCAGCTCCCTCTGGGCCAGGTGGGACCTGATGGGCAGGGAGTGGCTGCGGACCTGCCCCCCAAACTCTTGGGAGCCAGGGAGAGCCATGTCCTCAGGGAGGGGGCGCACTGTGTCCTAGTGGTTCTCACACGTCAGCTGCATCACAGTCACCTGGAGCCTCCACACACCCCCCCCCCCCCGCTCTCCCCTCTCCCTCACCATTCCCTCCACCCCCACCCCCAACTTTCTGATTCAAGGAGTCTGTGGCGGGACCTGAGACCCCATCTCTAACAAGCTCCCAGCTGGTGCTGCTGGTCTGGGGGCCACACTCAGAACTACTCACCCAAGATGGTTCCAACTGGGTGCCTGGCGTGGCTTCTGGATTGCTGGCTCCATGTCTGCCCTGCACTAGGGTCAGCCCAGGCGCTGGGGCAGAGGCCCTGGGGGTTCCCACATCAGAGAGCTGGCATGTTGGTGGGGGTGCTTGTTGCTGCAGCCCCCCTCCGCGGCCCCCCCCCCCCCCAAACACACAACGTGAGAGCTAGAACCTGGAGCTCTGGGCAGGTCCCAACAACACTGCACCTTTCACACGGACCTCAGGTGGCTCCCTCTGGGCCAGACAGGAGGGGAGGGGCCTCTCTGCCTGACCAGGAAGAAGTGTCCGTTGTCCCTTTGTCCTCCGCCCACCACTCCAGGCTGCCTGCGGGTGCGGGAAGAGCCCGCCGTCCATTGTGGGATGCTGGGCGCCCAGCACGCTGCCCACCCATCGGCACTCTCAGCCGGGAAGCACCTGGCAGTTTCAGGAACATTCTGGCCTCGCTAAAGCTCACCGCCGGTTCTGGACCTCACAGCCCCGGTGGTTCTGGATGGCACAGGCCCTGCCCCTCAGTGTCAGCTCAGCCACGTTGGCTGTTTCCCAGCTGGGTGCTCAGTGGGCAGGGTTGGCATTCTGGGTCCTTACCTGCCAGCTCCCAAGAAAGCAGAGATGCTATCTGAGGCCTAAGGACAGCCTGTGGCTAATGATGCAGATGCTCATGCAAATACGCTCCGAATTCTCACTCACCCAGCCTGGGCTGGGCCCTGCAAGCTGCTGCCTGAGTCACACACACACACACACACTCACACACACACACATACACACACACCCCTCCCTCCCCCCAGGAGATGGACGATGCCAACACCGGGGCTTGCAAAACAGATGGCAGGACCTGGTGTCCTAAGTGAAGGCGTCCCAGCTCCACCCAGTGCAATTCCGGGAGATTCCCCGGAGGGAGCCCCAGGAACCAGAGGGCGAGGTCAGAGGTCAGAGGGCAGGGGGAGAGGACTCAGGGAAGTTTTTGCCTGGAGGCTCTGTTTCTGGGTGACCGCAGCTGCAGAACCAGAGACCAGTAGACGCATCCGGAAAGCGGGAGCCTGTGGTCTCTCCTAGGCACGCCGCTAACCGAGGGGAGCGGTGAGAGCTCAGGAGGGCGCAGGCCTAACCCGCGTTAGGCCTTTCAAGTTCTGCATCTGTCAAACGGAGGAAAATGCCTTCCCCACTCTTCACAGAGGCAGATGTTTTAAAAAAAGTATTTTCTATCCATTTCAAAGGGAAGGAAGAGGGAGAGAGGGAAACATCAATGATGAGAGAATCACTGATTGGCTGCCTCCTGCATGCCCTTGCAGGAGGGACGAGCCCGAAGCCCTGGTGCCCATCACCGCACCCTGGGCGCAGTGCCCTTGGACCTGCTCGCAGTGGGGCCCTTTCCACCAGCATGAGGCCACGTCCCCTTCCCGGCCCCCCCACGTGCTCGGTCTGAACACACGGGGGAGCACCCTCTGTGTCAGTCAGGCCCCCTGGCTCCCGCGACCGGCCCTCAGAGCCCCTGGGTTTCCACGGGGACGTGGACATGTCTTTTTTCCGTAAAAGCTGACGTACGTGACAGGGAAGTCCCGGCACCAAGACCTCGTCACAGAAAATTCCTTTCTCCCACCCAGAATCCGGGACTTTCCAGGCTCTCTGAGGCTCCCCCAGGCCGGGAGCCTGGTGTGTTGGCCCTGCTGGTGGCCCAGGGCGGCCCCTCTGTGGGATGTGGGACGTGGGACGTGCGACGTGGAACACGGCCCGGCCCAGGCTGGTCAGTTAGGGTGTTCTGGCCTCCTGTAAGGTGGGGCTGTTTGGGGACATTGGACTGTCTCTTAAGATCAATATGGGCTTCCCGCCCTGGCTGGTGTGGCTCTGTGGATAGAGCGTCGATCTGTGGACAGAAGGGTCCCAGGTTCAGTTCTGGTCAGGCAACAAGCCCGGGTTGAGGGCTCCATCCTCAGCGGGCGTGTGCAGGTGGCAGCTGATGGGTGATTCTTTCTTATCATTGATGTTTCTCCCTCTCCTCCCTCTCCCTTCCATTCTGGTGTAGATGTTACAGGCTTCCCCTCAGGGCCTTAAGCAGGGGAGGCCAGGAGCAGCAGCAGGTGAAGGGGTGAGGTCATTTGTCTCGACAACCTTTTGGGGCGCCGCCTACAGGGGCCGGGGTCAGGCCTGAGGAGCAGGAGCTGGGAGCCATGGGGTCTCTTTTTCCTTTTTTTTACAGTGTAAAATTTTTATATTTAGAATTAGGCAGCTGGACTCAGTTCAGATGATTCCAGTTTTGTTGGCAACATCCAAAGCATCATAGTCAGGAGCCAGTGGAACGTATGCCTTCTTCTCGCCATCAGGCCTGATCAGGGTGTTGACCTTGGCCACATCAATGTCATAGAGCTTCTTCACAGCCTGTTTGATTGGTGCTTGTTGGCCTTGACATCCACAGTGAACACAAGTGTATTATTGTCTTCTATCTTCTTCGTGGCTGACTCGGTGGCCAGGGGAACGTGATGATGGCATAGTGGTCAAGCTTGTTTCTCCCGGGTGCGCTCTTCTGAGGATACTTGGGCTGCCCCGGAGCCTTAGTGTCTTTGGCCGTTGGAAGGGGGGGACGTGCGGATCTCCTCCTCCTCCTCCTCCTCCTCCTCCTCCTCCTCCTTCTCCTCCTCTCCTCCTCCTCCTCCTCCTCCTCCTCCTCCTCCTCCTCCTCCTCCTCCTCCTCCTCCTCCTCCTCCTCCTCCTCCTCCTCCTCCTCCTCCTTCTTGTGGCTGTGGATGCCTTTCAACAATGCTTCCTTTGCCTTCAAACCCTTTGCTTTGGCTTCGGCTTTGGGAGGGGCAGGGGCTTCCTTCTTCGCTTTTGGCGCCATCTTTGTAAAAAGCGCCCTGGGCTTTTTCTGAAGAGATAGCCACGCCTGCCTCCTGGTCGCTGGGTCTCCTGATGTTTCAAGGGAGGAAGGAAATCTTTCTTTTCTACCAAATCACCAGAGTCTTAATATTGGCAACTCATTCAAAGCTTAGACTTTTTATTTTTATTTTATTTTGTAACTAGAGGTCTGGTGCACAAATTTGTGCACGGGTGGGGTCTGGCCCCCCCCCCCCCCTTCAGGGCTGATCGGGCTGGGCCGGCTGAGGGGAGGGACACAAGAGGTTGTCCAGCCGGCCCTGCCCCTGATTGGGGTGGGGGGTGATCGGTGGTGAGATCAGGGGTGATCGAAGGGGAGGAAGAGTCCTACCCCCTGGTTGAATTCCCAATCGAGGGAACAATTTGCATATTAGCCTTTTATTATATAGGATTGTTTGGTTGGCCCGACCAAATAAATCTATGGGCTAGATCTGTCCTGTGAGTACTCCTGTCTCCGAATGCACCCAACAAAATCGAATGTCAGGGCCAGGGCTGGGGACCCACAGCTGCAAATGTGCGAGAGGTGTCCCAGTGGAGTGACCGCTTCCTTAATGCAGGACGTTGCCTGCGGTCAGCTGGCGATGGCGATTAGCTCCTCTGGGGGGACAGCCTTGAGTTGGGGCATGCTGCTAGGGTCCTGAGTCCTGAATGATATTTGAGTCCTGAATGATATTCACCCTGAATGTTTTGTTGTGCTTTTTCTTAGTAGACTATAAGACCCCTGAGGGTAGACCTAACAGAGAGTTAAGTCTGTGTTAGTTTTCCATGGAACCAATTACCACAACTTCGGCGGCTAAAGACAGCGGAGAACCACCGCCTGCTTCTGAGGCCGGAGGTCTGCCTAGTCTCGCTGGGCTAACTCTGCGCTGTTGGCGGGAGGCTCACATGGAGAGTCACTTCCTTGCTTTTCCCAGCTCCTGGCGGCGGCCCACACCCCTTGGCTCCTGGCCCCATCACTTGGCTCTGCACCGTCTCCTCCAACTGGCCCGGGTTGGAGGCAGCAGCGTAGCAGCCCTGGAGGAGAGCTCGGGGTCGGAGTCCCAGTTTGCCACCTGTGGGACCCAGGCAAACTCCATCGCCTCTTTTTATTTTATTGAGATAGAATGGACACAGAACATCCTGAGTTTAAGGTATACAACATATTGATTTGTTACATGTACAGTATAGTGTTACATGATTGTATTGTAGCATTAGCCAACACCTCTGTAATGTCACATAATTATTATTTCTTCTAGTCCCATTACCTACTTTTTAAAAAAAGGTATTTTATTATATTTTTTGTTAATCCTCACCCGAGGATATTTTTCCAATGATTTTTAGAGAGAGTGGAAGAGAGAGGGAGAGACAGAGAGAAACATTGATGTGAGAGAGTCACATTGATTGGTTGCCTCCTGCACACCCTGCCTGCAGAGGCTGGGGAATTGAGCCTACACTCGAGCTATGTGCCCTTGACTGGAATCGAACCTGGAACCCTTCAGTCAAAGGGCCGATGCTCTATCCACTGAGCCAAACCGGATAGGGCTAGTTCCATCACCACTTGATGTGTCAGGTCCACACCTGTGCAAAGGGTTTGCCTGCCTGTGGTGCTTAGGTGGGGGGGGGGGCTGATACATGGGGGGGGGGGGGGGGGGTTCAGGGCAGTCTGGCACAGGGTCAGGCTGACCAGCTGTCTCATTGGCCCACTGGGACCTGGGACTCTCAGTGTTGACACTTGGACAGACCCAGGCAAACAGGAGTGAGTTGTCACCTGAGTTATTGTTTAGGAAGCTCTAGCTACCATCACCCTCTTACATGGCAGTGCCCGCACATGTGGGCAAGGAAAGGGGGGCGGGGCTGGTGTTTGGGGGAGGGAGGGCTGGAAGCCTGACCTGCTAGGGGAGAGAGCTTTTGGGATTTGATTTCCTCAATGAACTTAAAGGGATTCCCTCCCTCTGTGACCCGAGGACCTCAAAAAAAGGAAGACACAAAGCCCCAGCACTCTGCTCCCCAGCACCCCCGCTCCCCGGCGCCCCCTCTCCCCGGCGTCCCTGCTCCCCAGCATGATGGGTAGCCTGGGTGTGAAAGGGAGGCCTTGAACCCCACTCCACGATGGATGCCCCCTCACGCACACACCTCGGCACCTCCCTGGGCCCTGGGCCTGGGTGCTGTTGCTTTGCAGACAGGAAGTTTGGGGGCCAGGAATGTTCATTTACAAACCCCGCGTTTGGGAGTTCTGTTCCCCGGGCTGACATTGCTGAGGATGCGCGGTTGTTTACAGCCCCCGCAGGCGCTGTTAGCTGGTGCGGAGCTGGAGAAACCAATATCCCAGCCCCGTTCCTGAGCAACGGCTCCGGGGAAACTGCGGCTCGCGAGCCACATGCGGCTCTTTGGCCCCTTGAAAGAGGCTCTTCCACAAGATACCACGGCCTGGGAGAGTCTATGTTGAAGAAGTGGCATTAGAAGAAGTTTAAGTTTAAAAAATGTAGCTCTCAAGCCGAAACCGGTTTGGCTCAGTGGATAGAGCGTTGGCCTGAGGACTGAAAGGTCCCCGGGTTCGATTCCGGTCAAGGGCATGCACCTTGGTTGCAGGAGTATTTCCAGTAGGGGGTGTGCAAGAGGCAGCTGATTGATGATTCTCTCTCACTGATGTTTCTGGCTCTCTATCCCTCTCCCTTCCTCTCTGTAAAAAATCAATAAAATATATTAAAAAAAAATTGGCTCTCAAAAAAAACAAACAAAACAAAACACCTCAGTCGTTGTCCTATTGGTATTTGGCTCTGTGGTCTGATGAGTTTGCTGAACACTGGCCTAGAGGAAAACAGAACATGTCAGGATGGAGTCTCACACACCTGCCACTCCAGAAAATCAATGAGCACCTCTGCCCTCTGGAGTGCAATGCTCATTGATCGGCTCCACTTCCGCTTCTGCTGCCTGTCCGCCCCCTTCCCACACTGCATGACGGGGTCACTGTCTCCCCACCACCCGCCCTCCCCGCACCCCCTGGGCGCCGTCCCTGAAGCATCAGCCTGAGGCCTCCGTCCTTCCTGACTGTAACTGGAAAATGCTGAGCTAAATCGGTGCACATTCACATGCATAGACATGTGTGTTTATAATTGGGACGGTTTCTCCAAACAGTGCTTACCCTTCGTGTGCGTGAGGCACACTGAGGCTTGTGATTCTAGTTTATGTACATGCATGCATATGACACATGACCACATATGCATGTGTGCCCATTGCTGGCCAAGTTTATCAGCACAGCACTTAGCTATGTATCCTGACAGCTCCTGTTTATTCCGTGTTCATTTTTATCCATGGCTGGCTGTGAGCATCTGCACTGATTTCATAACTTTCTGGCAGGTGGCAGCCCATACTCAACCCCAGGTCTTGAAGGAGTGGGGGCAGGAAGGCGTGAGGCCCGCCGTGCAGGGAGGTGGACGGGGTGGGCCTGCTTCCAGTGGCTTCTGCATTGGCTGCTCTCCCTTTTCTCCCGGCCTGCCCTCTGCCTGCTTCCATCTCCCCAGCTCTTCTTAAAAAATATTAATATATTTTGTTGATTTTTTTTTTTTTTGCAGAGAGGAAGGCAGAGGGATAGAGAGAAACATCGATGAGAGAGAGACATCGATCAGCTGCCTCCTGCACACCTCCCAATGGGGGGTGTGCCCGCAACCAAGGTACATGCCCTTGACCGGAATCGAACCTGGGAAACCTTGAGTCCGCAGGCCGGCGCTCTATTTACCGAGCCAAACCGGTCAGGGCCCAGATTCTGACTCTGTTTTTTTCAGGTTGCTGGGCCTCCTGCGCCGAGTTCTGTCAGCTGAGCGGGCGGCGGGCGGGAAGCCCTAGGACCTGCTGTTAGCTGGCAGCCCGGCGGTCACGCAGGTGGTGGGCATCTCACTCGGTTACTGGGCAGCTCCGGGCGGTGGGAGGGCAGCGGGCAGCCCCGCCCGCCCCGCCCCTGGCCTGCGTTTCCACCTGGGGGTCCGAGGCATTCATTTGCCTTTCATTGAGCCCGTGGTTTAAGGGAAGTGCTGCGCTCCGATGAAGCTGTGAACCGAAAACACACTCTCCTTCGGGGGAACTGGCTCCTTAGAGCTCCGCGGTCAGCCTGCCCTCGTCAGCGTACTTTTCGGAAGTCATTGGGTGTGAAATGGATTTTGTGTTTTATTTTTATTTTTTCCATTATTTATCTTTATTGTTGGAAGTATTACAGATGTCTCCTCTCCCCCCTGCCATGACCCTCTTCCTCCCCATTGCCTTCCCCTCCCCAGGCCTGCCCCCACTATCATCTGTGTCCACGGGTACAAAACAGATGCAGAGGTATGGAAGGCTGCACATGCCTTTTGAATTAGTGTTTTCTTTTGCTTTGGGTGAACATCTGAAATGCCCGCATTTTGAGTTTGTGTTTTAAAATGCGGGAAGTGACCACAGCTGACGTGGGTGTTTCCTTTGTGGCTATTTCTCAGTTTTCTTGCCTGTTCTCCTTGTGTCTGTGTGTGCGGGGGTGTGGGAGCGGGGGAAGGGTTGATGTAGTTGGTCTGTGGGCCCGTGGACAGACGGTGGGC